TATTTATTCATTTGTTGACTCATTCATTGATTTGTTGACTCATTCATTCACTCATTCATTCCTTAACACACTCATTCATTCGTTGACTCTTTCATTCATTCATTTGTTGACTCTTTCATTCATTCATTTGTTGACTCTTTCATTCATTCATAAAACTGATGACGTCTTCAAACGTCCTGGTTCAGTTCTGCAGGAACAGAACCAGGTTCACCTCCAGGATTTCTGTTTGAGGGTCACTAGATACAGACCGGGTCAGACCCGATCCAGTTTACAGCAGAACCGAGTAGGAACCTGACCTCAGAACCTCTGCTTCTGAACAGAACATCGGGTTTTATTTTGAAAGCGGAAGTCAGTGTTCTTGAGGGGTGGGGTCTCTGCAGCTTGACTCCTCCCCCTCCTAGCTCCAGCAGACCCAACCCTGCAGGGGGAACTGCGCTGGGACCGGTAAAGAACTGGACGGAACTGATAAGAGACGGGACCAGGACTGGGACCAGGCTTTGTTTGGAGGTCCAGGACTGACAGCTCAGACCTCCAGAAGCCCAGGACTGACCCGGAACCCGAGAATCTGGAACCAGGGGCTCAGGAGTTTCTAGCTGCCCCCCTCGGGTCCCGGACCTTGGTCTTCATGCAGGAGGACCACAGGGAGTGGAAATGGGTTGGTTCTGTCTGCTGCTGCTGCTGGGGAGCCTGAGTCCAGGTGAGGTTAAACTGGGACCAGAACCAGGTGAGGTGGACCCACCGGATTCCTCTCCTGCAGCCAGGTTTAGTTCTGAAGGTTCCGGTCTCTGCAGGTCCAAACCTGGTTCCACTCTGCAGTAAAGGGACATTTGGACCGGTTTAGAACCGGACCCAGTTCCTAATCAGAGTCACTCAGTTTCCAAACTGGAACCAAATCCTTCTTCACAAAGACTGATCCAGTAAGACCCAGTTAGTGTTCCGAGTAAGCTTTGTAGTTCTGAAGGTTCTAAAAGACTCATTGTGGTGCTTTGTGTCTACCTGGACCTCATCAGAATCGGTCCAGTCCAGGAACCACAGACAACATCATGCAGGCCAGAACTGGTTTAAAATATGTGAACTATCCCTTTAAGTCTGAAACCAGAACCTGCTGGTTTTGGGTCAGAGCAGCAGGTTCTGGTTTTGATTCTGATGTTGAAGGTGCACTCTGGGTCTGCATGGTGGTCTCGGGTCTTGGACTTGGATCTGAAAGCTTCAGAACTTAAATGATGAGTTCTGGTTCTGGTTCTGTCTGTCAGATGTTCTGCAGGGTCCAGAGTTTTCATTAAAGGTTCTGATCAAGTTCAGGTAGTCTTTGTTGTGGCCCAGAGGTCAGAGGTTCTGTCTGCAGGTCTTGGTTCTCGTGATTAATGGGTTTGGGGTCGGTCTGAAGACTCAGCACTTCAGACACTACGTTTCCCATGATGCCTTGCTGCACTGCTGTCAGTCCAGGAGGAATTTTCCCATGATGCTCGGTTCAGACGTGACCTCTGACCCCGAGTCTGTGCCACACAAAGAGCCGTTTAGCATCACAAAGACAGCAGGGGTCAAAGGTCACGCTCAGGCACAGATGGAGCTCAGACATGCTAATGTGGAGGCCTCGGTTCTCACGCTCGACCCGCTTCCTGGTTCTGATGAGAACATCTGGTTGGGTCGTCTGCAGGAGGAACCAAGAGGGGAGCCAACGTCTAAAATGAGACCATCCATCCATCAACTGCTACAGTCTGTCCATGCATGAATGAATGAATGAACGAATGATCAAAGAGTTTTCTGTCTGCTCTGAGGGGTTCTGTCTAATGGTTGTGTCTGGATCAGAACACTGTGAATGGAACACGTTCCACACTCAGTGAGGGAACCCTCAGAGATAAGATGTTCTATGATGTGATGGACGACACAGTCTGAGTCACAAACTGACTTCATGCTGCTTCAGTCATTTTCAACTTCTTTACACTTCACAGTTCATTCACAATTTTTACAGGTTATTCATATTTTATACACTTAGTTTTGTGTTTTTACACTTTATTTTTAGTTTTTACACTTTATTTTGTGTTTTTACACTTTATTTTTTGTGTTCACACTTTATTTTGTGTGTTTACACTTTATTTTGTGTGTTTACAGTTTATTTTTTGTTTTGACACTTTATTTTGTGTTTTTACACTTTATTTTGTGTGTTTACACTTTATTTTGTGTGTTTACAGTTTATTTTTTGTTTTGACACTTTATTTTGTGTTTTTACACTTTTTGTGTTTTTGCAGTTTATTTTGTGTTTTTACACTTTATTTTATGTTTTGACACTATTTTATTTTGTGTTATGACACTTTATTTTGTGTTTTGACACTTTATTTTGTGTTTTGACACTTTATTTTTTGTTTTTACACTTTATTTTGTGAGTTTACACTTTGTGTTTTTACAGTTTATTTAGTGTTTTTACAC